ATATATATGTTCCCTATATATAAATTTCATATATTATGTATAAATCGCACATGTCATACAAGGGAGCAACTATATAAATGATATCCAGAAATATTACTGGCCACAAAATAAGGAAATTATGACTTTAACATGATTAACAACAATGGCAAATATCTATCAAATTAGTATTCAATATGTAACAAAAGTTTGTTTCAAAATAAAAATAACATAAACATATTTAAGATAAATAAATGCTGAGAAAATTTGTAACCACAGCCTATACTACAAAAAATACAGGAAGAATTTCAAAAGACTTAAGGAAATGATGACAAATGGAATTTCATATTAAAAAAAAAAGAATGAAGATCTAAATATGAAGATATATTTTCCAAAAATCACCTTTTTTTCTTTTCTCTTTATTTTCCCAAATGACAACTTAGCGTTTAAAGCAAAAAAGAAAAGTATTATAAGATAATGTGTATCAAGTATGTAGAAGTAAAAATAATTACAACGGCACAAAGTAATGGTTAGATAAATGAAATCATATTGCCATGAGATTCAAATGTGAAAGACTCAAAAATCAGGGAGAGGGAACATGACCCAATTCATTTTATGTGTTAAGCATAGCGCTGAATATAATAGAAAAAGATACAATATGAAAATAGCAATGAAGGCCAATATCATCATGAATATAGATCTAAAAATCCTGAACAAAATGTTACCAAATCAAATCTAGAAATACATAAAAGGAATGATATGTAAATACCAAGTGGAATTGCTTCAAGGAATGCAAAGTTACTTTAGCATTCAAAAATCAGTCAATGTAATTCAACATAATCATCATCTCAATAGGTACCAAAAATACCTTTGACAAAAATGCAACACCAATCCATAATTTAAAATACAAACAAACTCTCAACAAATCAGGAATGGAAGGAAACTTCCTCAATAACATATCAGGCATCTATGGAAAATACACAGTTAACAACATACTTACTTGGTCAAATATTGCATGAGTTTCTCCTGAGACTGAGAACAAAGGAAGGATATCAACTCTCTCAATTTATCCTGAATATTTTACTATGCAATATTCAATAGTGAAATAAGAAAAAAAGAAAGTACACACACA